AAAATTGGTATCGTTGCATCCCTAAACTGTATACTTCTGCTTTTAATCGATAATCAAACATTTGTGACTGTTTCCATGACTACAGCTGAACGTCTTTTACCACTTGGAGAGGGAAACTTTTGCAGAGAACCACCAGCAAGCTGCGGACAAGGAAGCTTTCTCATTACGCATCGATGCCGCTGATGGCAGCGACCGCAATCACGTGACGTTGTCTGTATGCACGAGGTGAGCGGTTCACACATGGACAGTACGTTTCAATGTACTTTCATTGTTTATCTTTATTTGGTTAAGCCAGCCTGAAAGGATGGATCAGAAATGAGTAGATCAGAGGGACAGATCTGATTTTGCTCTTCTGAGGTAAAGTCAGAAAGGCACAGCTGAGATGGTTTGGACACGTGCAGAGGGTTAGTGTGACGGGGAGGATGCTGGGACAGGGGGAGATGGAGGCCGATGACCTGCTGTGGCCCCCCCTACAGGGAGGTAAAAGAAGATGATTTATCCAAGGAGCTTGAAAACAAAAGCAACTCAAGTTTCTTGAGGTGAAACATCCATTCCTATGAGCTGGATGACTGAGAACCTACGCAGACAAAAAGATTTATCATCATTTGGTTACTAAGCATGTTAAACACTCTGATAATGTTGTCCTCTCCAGATTAAAGGACAGTCAGCCGATACCTCACACAGGTATGGTTATACTGGATGTAGGCCTGCTCAGCGGGTTCACACTCTCTCCTGAGGCTGCTGTCCAATCAGCTGTTATCAGGAAGGTGGAGACGGCACCTGAGAAAGTCATCCTGTACCTGGATTCAGTAAGTGTTTGAAGCAGCCCAACAGGAATCAGCGTGAAGCTTTAAAACCCGCTCTATGCGTATTATTTGGGTGTGATATTAACCCTTTGTCAGGTCAGCGGCACCAACACACCCGCGTTTAAATTCACATTGTAGGGAAGCAGTTTCTGTTACTCTGGAGCAGCAAACATGTTTTGTGTCTTCAAACATTTGCCCTGCAAGGCTTCCCCAGCACTGGTTTCCTACATTACATGAAAATGCATGTTGATAAAATAGCAGGAATCCGATTACATCGCGTGCAGTGACATTATTCTGGTGTCGTTTGCAGCTCAACAAGTCAGAGGTTTGTATCAACCTTCCCCTCGTCAGAAACTACAAAGTGGCCCGCGTGCACGACGCTGTGGCACGCGTTTACGACTACTATGAGCCAAGTGAGTACGACTGTGAATAGTGTCGTTTTTAAAAAATATATATAATGTGAATGATCATATTTTTAATTTCAGCGAGAAACGCGATGAGCACGTACAATTCGCGAGGTCTGCCCGGCGTGGACTCCTGCTTCTTCTGTGGTGCAAACTGTGATCTCTGCAGGCCTGGAATCACCATCACCATGTCCGCTCAGTCGATGGCTGCCTACAGCTTCAGCTGCCTGCTTCTCGGACTCACTGTTTTTCTTGTTTTAGTCTGTTAGATCAGCGGTCCCCGGGCCTCGGACCGGTCTGTGAGTCGTTTGGTACAGAGCCGTGAGAGTTGAGGCTCAGGTGTGAAATGTATAGTTTTAAGGGTTTTTATCAGTTTTCAGCGTTATTTTGTTATCGTTTTTATCGTTAACTCAGTTTTCCTGGGTCTTTTCACGTGTGTTATGAATAAATCTTCTTTTTTTTGGTACCGGTGTTCTGGGAATCCATCCTACCTGGCAAACCATCCTACCCGTTGTTTCTGCGCATGCGCACAACACAAAATTCAGTGGCAAATCATCCTACCTTTGTTAATCTGAGCTAGAAGCGTACTTTAACAGCTAAAATTCAGTGGCAAATCATCCTACCTTTGTTAATAACAGCTACACACATACTCTGACGGGTAAAATTAAGTGCCAAACCATGCTACCTTTGTGAATGTTACCTACAAGCATACTTTAACGG